TCGCGGACGCCAGCGCGTCCAGCAGCACCGTCACCATCAGGAACACGCTCGTGCAGGTATGCCCCTTTATTGTTTGGCAGCCCATGTGTGTGGCCACCGGTGCAGACCCACACAGCGGGCAGCATAACAAGCAGCATGTTCACTGTCCTTGTCAATTCAAGTTTATAAAGGAAACTGCCATGCAACACGTATGCTCTCTAACCCTGATGCACTCTGGCTGCTGCTCTCAAACACCGCTGTATTTGTAGCCCATCGTCCGTGTTTTGCCAGCGAGCCAGATTGTGGATGAAGGCGTGCTTGGCCAGGCTGTGACGGCAGCTGTCGAAGTGATGCTGACCGCTCAGCCGGTGAGTTTCCTGTGTGTGTTGCCATTTTTTGCTGGTGGAGGTGCTTGGTCACCAATGCAGTTGCAAAGCTGTTTTACTTCATTTTCATTGACCGTCAAACCCCGTTTTCTTGCTTCCACACGAAGGGGAGGATGGTCCTGCATGCAACGCCACTTGCCCAGATGCTCCCTGTTCTTGCCATTGTGGTGCAGGCATCTGACGTGACCGTGAACTTCAGCACACGCGCCATCACAGCCACTGCGGATGTGGACTACACTCACACCGCCGGGTCGTTTGTCATCAAACGTGAAAACTGGAACGCGCCCAGCTCCATAGCCGTGCCCATTTTACCAGACAGGCGTTTTGAGGGGGACGAGACGTTTGCGATCGACGTTCTGGCGCCGCTGCCTTCCGGTCTGCTGCTGGACACCAACGCCTCAAGCACGATTGTCACCATCAAAAACACATTGGTGAGTGGAGAGTGAACTGTGCATATGAGGCAAAGCAGGGCCCTTACGTCTTCAGGATTGGTTGTACAACAGCCGCCATTACCGACGAGTGTTGTGGTCACTTCATACAACTGGAGATAAGCTGCTGCATTTGCGCTCTCTGGCCTGATTCTTTATGTTTCTAGCTATGGCCAAAATTGTTTACTTGAGTGATTCCTGTTGCACCCTTCCATCAATAGCTCATTGAGCCTGCTCCCCTGCTGACATCACCCTTCTGCAGCCGCCCAACTCGGTGGTGCCACTGTCCATCCTTGCTGATGCCTCCCTCCCTGACAACACGACGGTTTGGAGCACCCGCCGTCGCAATAAAGACCCCACAGTGTGCCTCAAATGGGTTGTGACCGGCCCCGCCTCCAGCGTGAATGGCAATCGCAGCTCCACCACCGGGCTTGTCAGTGTCACCGCAGCCCAGCTACGTATACGGCAGAAAACATTCAAGCGTTGGACCTCGCCCAAGGCTCGCTTTGGGCCAACGCCGCCGCTCTCTGGTATCAATACCTATTTGATTGGGGGCTTCACGGTTGGCTCGTGCAAGGCCTACTACAGAACTCCACGCGTAGATGTGCCTGATGACTGGCTGGTGACGGCGGGACGCGGCGCGGCGACTGCAACTGGGCTAGGGTGGCGCGCGGACGGGTCGGTGTGGTCAGCCTGCGTTAAGATCGTCAAGCAAGGCTGCCACAAGGTGCGTGGACCAGCACTCAACTCTAGCAGGGTACAGTCTGACATGCAGCAGGATTCAGTTGGCCTGTGCTTAGCGGGCATCTCTTTTTCCCCTATGCAGCTGCCAGTTGCGCTGTGTGTTGAGGCGCTGAGCGGCTGACTGTGTTGTCATGGCACCTCATGATTTGAGTATTGTCTTTGCCACAGAAGCTCACTGATGCGCACACACGGCCCCCCCCATCACCCATACCTCTGTTCAGGTCCACCTGATCTGGGACGGAGTGCTTGTTGCCCACGCAGTGATTGAACGGTGATACAAGGCAACACCGTTTGCTGGAGCCGTTGCGGTGCTGGTTCATCGGACAAGGCTGCTGCAATAGCCAATAACTGCGCCCCAATTGCAGCTAATGGCTGCGCTGACACCACGAGCGTGCGTGCTGTTGCACCTCGTCAGAGTCGTGCGGGTGTGTGGCACCCAAAGGACAACTCTGATAATGGTCAGACCCTGAAACACTGCTGGTGCTGAACACATTATCATTGAGTGTGCTGTTTCAAGCACACAGGTGACACCCTAAACAGCAAAACCCAGCTTGTGTGATCACCCTCACGGTACTGCGCTGCTGCTCGGCCCCGCAACACCACCTGCGGAGAGGCATGCTCGATTGCTTTGTGTGCACAAATTGCCTGCCCGATGCCAGTTCATGAGTTTGTCAATCGCCTTGCAACGGCTCACCTGCTTATTGATTGGTTGCAACCTGCAGCTTTTGCCATTGTTGACCCTGTTGACCTCCCTTTCGCCAGCTTGCGGGCGTTTGTACGGCAGCCAATAATCAGCACTGCAATTTCCGTGCATTAGAATTTGAACTTGTGTTCAAGTCTGAATGATGTTGGACCTGCAATCCCTGGTGTCAATGAGCGATTTAAATTGGTTATTCATTGGCCCCTCAGGCTGCTGTGACTGGTGCCGGTGTATCAATACTTACATATAACGCAAGCAGGCGGTGATGCTGAGCAGCTGCGCAGCTGGATTACTTGGCACGTGAAGGGGTCAGGGGCTCTTGTTGAGGGTTCCCAGTTTTATTGAGTTGAAGCCTGCCTGTCACAAATCTGAGTGTTTTGGTCTGAAAGCGCTGGTCAGTGCTGGCACGGGGACATACCCACTGCATCATTGGACGCCTTGGCATATATGCTTGCCCAAAGTTGGTGACGACCGTGCACCTCAATAGGCTTTGCAAGGCATACATACAGTAAGTAATGGATGCTTGTGCGCATGTCAGCCCCAAACCTTGCACTTGGTATCCGCCACACGTCCTGCCACGCGGGCTTTCTTGCACGGAAGCTCCAGCAGCCACCACAAAGGCATGCTTTAGACCTCACAAAGGGAAGTGCTCTCACTCACCGCCGAGTTGACGGTGGGTTAGCTGCTCATCCAAAGGGCATGTTGTGTTATACGGAGGCAGGGAGTGAACAGAGCGAGGGCTGCACGTTCCGCAGCAGCCCCATTTTGCTGCAGTATTCAGGAGGAGTTTGGTTTACGGCTAGCTCAAACGCCTTGACTCTAGAGCTTGACCCAGAACGCACATGCAGGGGGTTGCTGTGAGCAGCAGCCACGCGGGCCTAACACCTGCCCCCCCGCCCATGTGCGCGTGACTTGCTGCGTGGGTTTAGGGTTTGAAAGGGGTTTCAACCCTAATCCCATGCGGCAATACTCTCTCCCACGCTATCCTGAAACGCGCAGATGTACCACCCCCATAGGTTTTTGAGTCTGTTACTTGGTGTTGAGGATCAAAGTACGCAAGCCACTTGCTATAGAGCGTTCCGCCCCAGCCAGCACACCAGCATACCTGGGAGTCCCTGCAAAACAGTCGGCGTCGTGGCGCAAGGTGCGGCCCGCAGCGGCTGCCAAGGTTCGGTTGTGGTTTTCCTGTTTATCTCCACCCTTACGGAGCTTGAATAGCAGTGACTGGGTGTGAATTGGCTACAGATTGCATTGATTCAAGGAGGATGTGCTTCGTGTGTAAGAGTATCGCATGTGTGTGTGTGTGTGTGTGTTTATTTGTTTGTTTGTGTATTTGTCTGTTTGTATGTATGGCGCGGGCACATGTGCATTTGTCATCCATCCATGCTGCTATGTAAGCCTGCGTCGTAAACAAAAACATCAGAATTCTGCAAGGACCGCAGCAGCGCGGTGGCGTCGAGCCACTGGCTGGCAGGGCAGCGTCAGGCCGGCCTCAAGGCACGCCCGCTCCGACAGGCTAGGGCCGGGCATGGTGGCCTGCCCCGTCTCCGCTGAGCAGCTGTTGCAAACACCGATCATGGCCAACTCTGGCCGCGGCGCAACATCGACGGCGCAGGAAGCGAGCAAACAGAAGCACATCTTTTCAGACACAGCAACCACAGCTGCGGCAATGTCAAAGCAAAACCAGGTATCAAGCAGGCTGGCGCCCGGCTTGGTTGCGCAGCGTGCATTCAGTGGCCCAGGCGGACGCGGGCGTCACAGGCAGCCGTACTGCTTGAGGTCGTTCCTAAAGTCTTTGAGCACGGTGGCCATGCCTGCACGCCCGGGGGCGTCCAGGCCGATGACGTCATCGGGCTGCTTGAGGATGGTGGTCCAGGAGGCGCGCAGCTTCTGGGGGTGAGGGGGGCCGGTGGTGGTGGTGGTGGTGCCGGTGCGCTGCAGTTGGGGTAAAGAGGGGTCTAGGGGCCGGGCTGGGGCGCGCGGCATGGGCGCCAGGCGCGCCAGGCACGGCAGTGCGCACGAGCCGGGAAGCCCTTTCCGCAGCTGCCGCCGGCCAAGCACTTTTCCTTGCCCTGGATTCTTGGTGCCTCGCGCGCCAGGAGCAGCCGCCTTACAACCGACCCCAACAAACCGCCCACCTTCCAGATCGCGGCCACGTGCTCTGGGGCGTCTGTGTCGCAGAACCAAAACTCGTCCCCCTTGGCCGCCAGCGTGAGCCCCAGCGCCAGGCTCAGCGCGCCCCGCCAGTCCTAGAACAGCACCTGCGCGGGAAGGGCGCGCGCATGGGCGGGCTGCTACGCGCCGGCCCCTTGCGATATTGTCGGCAGAGTCATCCAGCAGAGTCATCCGCCTTTTAAACCCCTCCTGCGGGTCCTGCTGCGTCGCATCAGCGCTGCTTGCCGCGGCGGAAGCCCTGAGCATGCAAGGATCGCCGCGAGGATGCGGCGTGGGCGAGCACAGCAAGCGCGCAGCGCTCCTTGCTGGCGAGGCGCTTGAGGTGGCGCTCGATGATCTCGAAGCCCTCGTAGCTGGATGACGTGTCAATCATGCGCATGAGGTCATCGGGGCCGTCACAGCCAACCTGGGGGCGGCGCATGTTTGTGTGCGCATGCAGTTGGCCCGTATTTGCAAACCTTGAAACATCATGGGGCAGTGGCAGAGCGGGCCCCGCCCGTCCAACCCTCTCCAACCCGCCCCCACCTTCCCCATGCGTGCATGCGCGCATGAGCCCCTACGTTTTGGGAGGCGCCCAGCGCGACAGCGCCCCCGGCACAACGGGGCAGCGGGTTATGCATGCCTAGCAGAATCGCAGGTTGCAAACGCGATGCATGCGCATGCAACGCACCAGCTGTGCCGCCTCTGCCACACACAAACCGTGCACCTCTGGTGTGACGCAGTCGCGCCCTTCTTGCACACCCAACCCTCAGCCCCTTGTCTCACTTGCTCCCAGCTCACCCCCCCCCCCAAACGGCTACACGACAGCACCCTTCCCCGGAGTCCTGCTGCTCCACCCCTTCCCTTCGCTTTTCAACACCGCAGAGCCGACCAACCCGCACACGGCCGCCCATCCCTGGCCCCTCACCATCCCCAGCTCCTCCGCCACCGCCGCCATATCCTCCGCCGCCGCCTTTGGCGCGAACAGCTTGGGCAGCGCCCGCAGCTCTTGCAGAGTGGGCTCGTTGGAGTCAGGGCTGTCCAGCAGGAACACTGCACAGCCGCGTCGCTGCGCCTCGCGCGTGAGCTTCTCATTAAACTCGTGGGCCGCGTCTCCCTCGGGGGCGGCGGCCATGGCTGGCTGGGGTCGGCTGGGGCAGCGGGGCGGGGCCGGCGGAGGGCGGCGTCGGCGGGGCAGCAAAGGTGACGAGGCCAGTGAGCAGGATTGTCAGCATTGTCCTACGTGGCGCGCCGTAGCGCGTTGCAGCTCGTCTAAACAGGAAAGTAAGAAGAAAACACTCCCCTACGTTTGCAAACTTGCTGCATATGTTCAGATCATCTGACGCGCTCAAATTCGTGTCATAGAGGGTCGTGAATTCCAAACTGTTGTGAACTGATGCGAGACGACACCGATGAGGAGCTACAGCATTGTGTCACCGTACTGAGCGAGATCAGTGCGCACAGCGTCACATGGAACTGGGCGGGAACGCTCAGATCAAATCTTTGCCTGCGCTGCCGCTGGCTCACCCTACCAGAGCGGCCCAGGCTACTCCTAGTGCAGCGTAGCAGAACAGAAACTTTGGAGCGTCTTCTGAGGCAAAACAGGAGCACGCCTGCCACACGTAATTTGTGACACCACCCCGCCACGCCAAGGCTGAGGACCACCCCTGCCACGCCAGGCCTTGCAGCCAGCCCGCCGGCTGCGCGGAAGCCGCCCCTGTGGAAGTCAAGCAGGAATAGAGACCTCAACAACACACCCGAGCATGCTGCCAGATGGCAGCACGTAGGAGGCCGCGAAGGTAGTTAAAAAAGCAGGACACAGCACAGACTGAATGCGCAAGCGGGATCGATGCACTATCTCGTGCTGTCCTGCGCCGCCCAGCTAACGCGTTGAGGATGCAAAGCACAGCTGGTAGGACCTGCGGTGAGTACTCCCTTTTTCTCTTGCCGCTGTAGGCATTCGCGTTGACCTTGGCTTTCGGTGGAACTGCAGCAGGGGCCTCTTGCCCGCCGGGACTCCACAGGGAGCCGGCGCAAGGGCCGGGGAGCCAGCGGCCCTCGCGCCATCACCCCCGGGGCGTAATAAAACGGGCCTGTCCAATGGTCGGGGGCGGGTGGCCGCATGCATACGAAAGAGCGGTCAAGGCCTGGAGTTCAGCGTGAAGATGGAGTTGGTCCGAGTAACTTGGCAGTGACGTTGAGCTCCCTTGAAGTCCCTTCACGCGCCACCCACTACAGTCAGTCCTTGCGTGAGTGAATTTTGATGCAGCCAGATTTGCCACCACGCGCACCTCCTGGCTGTGCAGGTGTACAGTAATGTGAGTGTGAGGAATGTTTGTTGCGTTCCTTTTGGGTTTGCGTCAGCTACACCGACACCCCAGCTCACTGCTCAACTCTTCCATCTGATTGTACACTGATATTTCGAAAGCTGGGACCATCATATCGGTGCCCCCGATCTGAAGGCGTCCGACCACAGTCTCAGCGACGGCAGCAGGTACCGTACCAAGGGTGCTACTTTGGGTGCACGTGACACCCATAATACACTGCAAGCTTGCACGCAAACCGTGTGCCGCAGTTGCCTGTTGCTGCTGGACATGGTGGACTTCCTGTGCTTGTGTTCACGGCTAAGCTGAGTCAGGTGACTTGTCATCATCTGGCCTTGCTGATCCCCCCGCGATGTAGGTTTGAAACTGTACAGCGTTTCCCCTGCAGCAGCAGCCGTGTCGAGGCGGACTCAACACCGCCAGGCGCTTGCTTGGCCTTTCGCAGCATGGCGGCAACACGGGCAATACCGCGGCCACAACCGACGCCGCTGCTGCTGCTGGCTGTGCTGCTACTTCTGCTCACGCCTCTGCTTGGGGCCCATGTGGCGGGGACATCCGTACCGTCGTTATCATCAACATCAATACCATCGTCAACAGCAGCAGCAGCAGCAGCAGCCCCGACGCAGACGCCACCCGTCGTCATCACGAAAGCGGGCGTGTACCACGAGGTCGTGGAAAGCGTTGATTCCCTGCTGGCTGCCCCGCCCCCAATCTTTCAGCTCCCTACAATGACATCGACATCAGCCGCAGCGACCCAGCCCTTGAATGGGGGCCGGCGGTCATTGGCTCAAGTTGTCCCGGAGGTTCTTTACATGAGGACTGTCAGTCGCGTTGCAGAGGGCAGCGGCGGCGGGACCAGTTCTGTAACAGTCGCTGCAGTATGGTCCAACGCGCCGGCAGGGGTGAGCGCTGCGCCGACGGCCTGCTTTGCGTTGGGGCAGCTTGGGGCGGCTTGTGGGCCCGTGCATGAGGCGTTGGGGCTTCACGTATGCCGAGGTGCACGCTTCACTGCAGCGGCAGCTGTGCTTCGTAGCGGAGGAGGCTGGCTGCAAGCCGCTGCATGCTGGTCATGAGGGTGCCTCTGCGTTTGACTGCACGTGAAGGGCATGCACGCACGCTCTTGGCTGCTTGAACCACCACCACTGCCACTGCATGGCCTTGTTTGCCAACAGCAACAGCTCGCCGCACATGCCGGTTCTTTCCACGCCGCAGGCGTCGGTTGTGATCGAGGTCACGCCAGGCACCGCCACCATCCCAGAGGACTTCATCGGGGCCAACCTTACGTCCCCGCCACCAGGGCTTGTCACCCCAATTACGTTCAACATTGATGTGGTCAGCGACGACTTGTTTGAAACCGACGAGACGTTTGAAATACGCGCGTCCAGCACCAGTGGCATCTCCGGAAGCCCCGTGAGCATCATCATTTCCAACGATGACAGTCCGCCCGCCCTTGTGGCCCCAGTGCTGGTAGAGGTTTTTGAAGGCGACATCCCCGGGGGCGGCGGCGCCACTGCCGTCTTCCCAGTGAAACTGTCCAACATCTCGGTAGGAAAACACTGCGTTGGCTGGGGGGCTTTGCCTTGCTTTGCTCGCCGCCCGCATGGATGGGTGCCGTTCAGATAGTCAGTTTCTGATGATTTTGAAGCTGGGGCGTGTACCAGACTTGTAGTTTGGCCCCAGTATGGCAGTCAAGGGGGGTTCTCAGGCGATGATCGGTCAGGGGCCGGGCTCGTGCGGGTCGCCACCCACATGTGGCCCATGAGTGCAACATCATGGGGGCCAATGCCATTCGCCAACGAGTGGCCAGGGCCCCTTAATGAGGCGTTGAGCCCTCTCAGTGGCCAGGGCAGCAAACAAGCATGCTACTGTACCAGCGACAGCTTGCGGAGCATTGCAATCTGCCGACGTTTCATGTCTCCACCCCACCCACAAGTGGGTGCGAGCTGCTTTACACCAGCCAGGTGGGCCCAGCTGAGCTGACCTTTTCGCGCTTCCATGCACGCACGCTGGCGGCAGGGCGTGGATTTGGTGCTGCGCTATTCAACGGCCGACGGCTCGGCCGTGGCACCACTGGATTATACAGCAATTCCCGTGTCCATGACGACTTTTGCTGCCGGCACATCAGACAAGAACGTAACCGTGGCGCTGACGGGCGGCAATCGTATACAAGAGCCTGACAAGAGTTTTGTCGTGCAGCTGGCGTTGTTCCACGGCGCCACGCAAGTGTCGTCAGCCAACGTCACCATCAACATCAAAAATGATGACTGGGTGAGTGAGCCAGCAGCGACTGCGAGGGACCAGCATGATTGCGAGGCATTGGCTCCAGGCAGGGTTGTTACGGGGCGCGACTAGTACACTGAATCTTGATTGAGGGCCTTACGAACCAGGCAAGGCAAGGAAGCTTTCAGAAGGTAGGTGCGGGCCTTGTTTTCTGGAGAATAGAAACTTACATGCTGGCATCAGCGAGGTGCGGGCCAAGCTGCGTGGTTTATTGTCATGGCTTCACTGGTTTGATTGCAGCGTTTGATGTGTGCCAAAGCCATCATGCATCAAGCCATCAGGCTTGTCCACAGTTTACAGGTGCAGGCATGCGTTGTTCACGAAGGCATGTATCCCTACTCGGCCGTTGCTCCACACTGATGAGTTGCTGGATCTGCCCCTTCATAATATTGCCTTGGTTCCTTGCTTCTGATCTCAACATGCGCAGTTGTACGCCCAGATATCACCAACAATCCAGAGTGTCAACGAGGGCACGCCCGGGCAGGCGACAACTGCAACATCGGATATTGTGCTGACTGCCCAACCAGTGAGTGCCTTGCAGCTGGCACCAAAGACAGATGCTCGGCATGTTCCCGCATGACCATCGTTGCCAACTACGTCTAGGCTAGAGACAACTTACGCTGTAACCTTCTCTTGCGACCCCCATTTGACACACGCCCTTTTATCTCAACGATGATGCGACGCCGTTTTGCAGACCGCGAACGTGACCGTGAACTTCAGCACGCGTGACATTACAGCCACCGCGGATGCTGACTACACTGCCACGAGCGGGTCGCTGACATTCACGCCTGTCAACTGGGGCGTGCCCCAACAAGTCACTGTTGGCATTCTGCCAGACGTGCTGCTTGAGGCGGACGAAATGTTTGCCATCGACATCTCTGTGGCGGCGCCTTTTACCTCCATTGTGAACGCCAGCACCTCTAGTAGCACCGTCACCATCAGGAACAAGCTTGTGCAGGTAGCTATGTGCACCGACACACACACACACACACACACACACACACACACGCACGCACAAGTTGCTTGCAAACATCCATGTGTACTGCATGCTGGGTCATCCGGCTCGACAGAGCTAGGGTAGGGTTGTCTATGGTACTGTGTAGAGGCAGCCAGATGACTGTACTGCTAGCACCACTTCACAGTCATCCGCTTCATCCTCTGGTTTGTCCGCACTCACGTAAACAAGCCATCTCAAGCTGCTGCTATACATCCGTCCTCCATGCACGTGCATTCGCAGCCCGTCGCCCGCATCTCGCCGGCAAGTCAGACTGTGGACGAAGGCTTGCCTGGGCAACCGACGTCTGCAGGGGCCCAAGTGTCGCTGACTGCTCAGCCGGTGGGTTCAAGGTGTTTGCAATGCTTGCAGGCAGCGCGTGATGCTGAAGAGCCACGGGTTGCCGCCATGCGGGTCCAAGCAGTATGCTGGCACATGTTCTGTGCAATTGTATTGTGCTTTCA